CTCAAAGCCCAACAAGACACAGAGAAAGGCTGGAGCCTTCAGAGCGTGAGCATCACCAGCAAAGCCCTGGTCACTCCACCAGTCACCTCCCTGGTCCTCTGAAGATCTTGGTCACAAAGGCAGCCAGGCTGGAACCACAACCACCACAAAATGACTGCTGAGCTCCCAGGGTGCCTGGCTGCAGCCCCTCTGATATTCATCATCTCCAATTAATTAAATCATTGAACAGTAATTAGCTCTTCAGGGGAGAGGCCTGTGCTTCACACCTGGGCTGGCAAAGAGCTGGTCGAGCCGGAGCAGGGACGTGCTCCCGGTGAGCAGCAGCAAAGGTTGGGATCTGGGGGCAAGCCACCCCATTTGCCCCCAGGTCTGTGTTTTAAGAGGGTCTCAGCTCCATATTTCACATAATTTGGAGGAAAAGGATGTGCATGAAACATCTGGGGTCCTCCAAAGCCCATAAAGGCTTGGTGGGGGTGTCCCAGGTGTGCAGCATGCTGTGTCCCCTGCATCCCCAGGGGATGTGTACCCCAAAACATCCCAACCCAGTGAGGAGGGTCCCAAAATATCCCAAACCAGTGATGAAGGTCCCAAAGCATCCCAACCCAGTGAGAAGGGTCCCAAAACACCCCAACCCAGCCCCAAATCCTGCCCCTTCTCTCTGAGCCCACGCATGGCAGCAGACGGGGACACCACGTGCTGGAAACCAACCCCAGGATTGCAGGATCTTGGGGCTGCACCCCAAAAAACCCCGGAGGATCAGTCGTGCCAGTGGTGGTTTGCTGCGGTGAGCACCGTGGTGGTGGAGCCAGCAAGTGCTGGAGATGTAATTACACCTTCCCGAGCTCCGAGCTCCCGGCAAAGGGGATCTGGACTCTTGGGAAGAGGCGACGGATCCTTCAGTAGCTGCTGGGCTCCCACACCAGCTGCAGAGGAACGTGGGGAGAGAAAAAAGAGCTGATTTAGTAGCTGGAAGATGCATCTCTACGGATGGGAGTCTGTCCAGAGGTAATCTATGTGTAAGGTAATTTCCGAAGGCAGCAGGACTCGATGCAACCCTTAATAGGACAATCTCATGTGATAAATTACCAGCCCCAACTAATCTGCATGTTAAATTCCTTGTATGAGAAATAAATATCCTCAATTCACCAGAGAAGCGCTTTCCTTCGGAGGATTTCATTAAAGACATCAAGCTGCCTGATTTGCATGTTATGATTCCTGGTACGAGGAGAAGTCAGGCTCTGGAGAGCTCGCAGGAGAGCCCGGCACCGCCGAGATGATACACGAGAAAACAGAGCTGGCCCTGGAGAGCACAGCACCAGCGTGCCAGGGCATGGGAGCGTGTGGGCAAAGCCTCCATCACCAGCTGTCACCTTAACGAAGGTCACAACAGGCATCAGAGGGGATGGCGTCTTGCTGTGGGGTCCCCAAGTGTAAGAGGCAGCTGGGGTCCCATGGGAGAGCCGTCCCCACGCACCCCGTGCCAGCAGTGGCCAAGGGGGGAGTGAGTGGGTGAAGGCAGGATGGTCCCTGATCCACCACGGTCCCCAGGGATGCTCCCCGGGGAGGGGATGGCTCCACACGTGCACAGAGCCAGGCTGGTCCCCAATCCCCTGCAGACCCCAGGGATGCTCCCAAGAGGGGACAGCTCCACACGTGCACAGAGCCAGGCTGGTCCCCAATCCCCTGCAGACCCCAGGGATGCTCCCAAGAGGGGACAGCTCCACACGTGCACAGAGCCAGGCTGGTCCCCAATCCCCTGCAGACCCCAGGGATGCTCCCAAGAGGGGACAGCTCCACACGTGCACAGAGCCAGGCTGGTCCCCAATCCCCTGCAGACCCCAGGGATGCTCCCAAGAGGGGACAGCTCCACACGTGCACAGAGCCAGGCTGGTCCCCAATCCCCTGCAGACCCCAGGGATGCTCCCAAGAGGGGACAGCTCCACACGTGCACAGAGCCAGGCTGGTCCCCAATCCCCTGCAGACCCCAGGGATGCTCCCAAGAGGGGACAGCTCCACACGTGCACAGAGCCAGGCTGGTCCCCAATCCCATGGTCCCCAGGGATGCTCCCAAGAGGGGACAGCTCCACACGTGCACAGAGCCAGGCTGGTCCCCAATCCCCTGCAGACCCCAGGGATGCTCCCAAGAGGGGACAGCTCCACACGTGCACAACACCAGGCTGGTCCCCAATCCCATGGTCCCCAGGGATGCTCCCAAGAGGGGACAGCTCCACACGTGCACAGAGCCAGGCTGGCCAATCCCCCCATGGTCCCTGATCCCTCTGTGGTCCCCAGGGATGCTCCCAAGGGGTCAGCTCTACCCACACCCAGCAGGACCACCTTGGCCCTCACTGTCCCACGGCCGGGGACCTGCCGAGCCCGTTCCCCACCTGACCTTCACCACACGCCAACAAGTCACTCCGGTGCCAAGCTGGCGGCAAAATCGCTGCGGGAAGGAAAGGGCGGTCGCCATGGAAACACGCTGCCAAACTGGGAGAGAGGCTCCTTCCTTTAAAACACATCGTGAGCTGGTCTGACCATCAGATGAGGATGAACTGGGGTGGTTCTTGGGGAGTGTGGGGCCGAGGGGACACAAACCTCAACCCCCAGTTCCCCGAGAAATGAGGAAATGCAGAAGGGTGACAGCAGCTGGTGGGATGCTCGGCCACCGGAGAGGAGAGGTGTCAAGGACAAAACGCTTGGTGACACGCTGTCCTGGCTGGGAACCGTGAGGTGATGCCACCAAGTCTGGCTGCAAAGCACAGTGCATCCTGTCACAGGCACAGCCAGGCCCTGGGGAAGGTCCAGGGGTGGGGACACACTGGGGGACACATGCCAGCCCTGAGCCAGGGCTGCACCCCACATCCCTCACCCACGCTGCTGATGCACCCACAGCCATTCCTGGTCCCCACAGACAGGAGCATCCCAGAGCCTCACCGGCCATCAGCACCAGCCCTCCCTTCTCTAAGGATTACTCTGTTTCTAAACTCGTTAACTTTTAATTACTACCTTCCCACTGCCTGAGCAGGCTGGCTCCGTGCCATCGACATCTCTATTAAAATTCAATTTCTGCCCATCATAACTAATTTGGATCCTTCGCTTTCCTCACCGGCAGCTTTCAATTCCAGGCAAAGACAGGCAAACTCTCATCCCACCACGTGAAATCCCTGCGGATAACCGGGGCCAGGCAGCGTGCCGGGAGCGGGTGCCGGCAGGTTGTGTCCTTGCCGCGGCGAGGACGGGTTGGTGCCAGGCAGGGATTTGCAGACAGGCTCTGTGCTTCATTAGCTGCGCTGGTTTGTTTGGGTTTTCCCTCATGTGTTTGTTTATTTTTCTCGCTTCTTTCCTTAATCTTTTCTGGCTGGAAGCTGGAAGAAGTGGGGGCCAGAGGGGGGATTGAGGGAAAGGGAGTCACCTTGGTGTGGGGATGCTGGGATGTGGCTCCGGAGCTGTTGGGCATCCCAGAGCAGAGACACAAGCACTGGCCCTTTAGCTACAGAAGGGTAAACTGAGGCGCAGAGTAAACCCAGGAGAGTTGCACCCAGGGCAGTTGAGATGGGATGTGAGGAAGAATTTCTTTGCTGAAAGGGTTCTGAGGCATTGGAAGGGGTTGCCCAGGGCAGTGGTGGAGTCCCCATCCCTGGAGGGATTGAAGAGTCGTGTAGACACAGTGCTGAGGGACATGGGTTAGTCATAGGGGACTTGTCAGTGTTGGGTTCATGGTTGGACTCGATGAGCTCAAAGGGCTTTTCCCATCCAGGTAATTCTGGGATTCCATGGAAGGAATCCAGGGGTCCCCATATCGGGTTTGGAGGTCTCCCCCAAGCACCCCAACCCACTCCAAGGACAGGGCAGAGCCTGGGGTCAGGGTCTTGCCATCTTTCTCCTGCCCAGTGCTGTGCAGCTGCCCCAGAGGAGCCCCTGCACGGGCTCTGTGTCCCCTCACCCTACTGTCACCACCATCCCCACAATCCCATTGAAGGGTTGACATTTTGCATTGTTCCCGCTGCAGCCAACGTGTCCCCTGACCCGCAGAAGCTGTGGGGCTCAACAGGTCTCTGAGCTTTGTCACCAGGACTAGGGACAAGGGACCCATCCCAGGGGGCACCTGGCACTGGTGTAAACACCCAGCACCGAGCCTGGGGCATTGGGGACATCACAGAGCTGTGGCCACCATGGCTTGGTTGGGGACAGTCCCCATTGTCCCCAAGGATGGACACTGCTCCAGCATCCAGCACAGGACACGGTGCTGGGGAAAGGACACAGCACTCAACATAGCACATGGTGCCAGGGAGGTGACAGCACCCAGCATGGCACACAGAGCTGGGGAGGGGACCCAGCACAGCAGAGGGTGCCGGGGAGGGGACGTCACCCAGCCACATTGTCTATGTTCCTGACATCCCGGAGCAGCCCGGCGTTGCTACAGCAACATGAAGCCTTTGGATTCAACGCCTTTAACCGGGGAACGGCTCGTCTCGGGCTGAATTATTGATTACAACAGAGAGGATGACGCAGACGAGGCAGCCAGAGGTGCCCGGTTTGATTTAAAGGTGATCTTCAAGTGGGCAGTGATGTGGGGACAGCTGTTGTGGAGCAGGAGTTGGCTCACAGGGCTGGATGCCCCAGCCTGGGGTGATCTCTCATGCCACCCCTGCTCCTTCCCCTGGTTGAGCTGTTCTTGGAGAGCCACGAGTTGTCTCGGCAGCCTCGGCGGCGGTGAGGACTCACCGATACTCCAGGGAGAACTTGGTCAGCTCCCGGCTGTTGTGCAGCCACTTGAACTCGAGGGGCCAGCTGCCCTCTGCCATGCACGTCAGCACCAGGCGGTTCCCCTCCAGATGGACCTGGCTCCGCACCGGCTCCGTCTTAAAGTACGGGGAGACATCGTCTGTGGAGAGAGGAGGGAAAGGGGGTGAGAGACCTGCCCGGCCCCACAGCCTGCCAGCCCCACGGCAGCAGGACCACATCATCGTACAATCCCAGAATGGCCTGGATGGGAAAAGC